ATGTGGCATCCATTTCACCGTTTGTGAAGCAGATGATAAACACTTGGTCAGTTTGTAATAGGGTTATCCTTATAATTGGATAGATTTGATTAAAGCTGTCCTAGAGCCTGGACCACAATTAAAATGGACTTCCCAGTTCAGAGAAGAGGCTAAGAATATTGAACAAAAGGCTAAAGCAAGAGGTATGGATATCTCCCAAGATCAAATTATTGGAGAAGGAGATTTATGTTCCTTTAGAAAGGCAGTGTCTGTATGATGATCACCTTTTGGGTTTATGCCCTTCAACAGCTTTGAATGCTTGGGACATAATTGGAGAAGCAAGAAAGAAAATAGAATCATTTACAAAAGTTATACAGGATCCAAAGGAAACATTCATGGATTTTGTATAAAGACTGTCATCAGCAGTCAATAGAATGATATCAAACACAGAAGCTAGAAAAATAATAATTGAAACTATGACTTTTGAAAATGCTAATGCCCAGGAAATGACCAGAGATCTATAAGGTTGACCCCAACTAACAATCTAAGCAATAGTTGAGAGGCTACCTTAAAAGCCCTTCTCCGATAATGAGATTGATGACTACATTATATGCCATCCTAGAGCCTTCATCCAGTAGCTGATGGAAGCAGAAGACACAGCTAAACACTGAGCTGAACTTAGGAATCTAGTTGCAGAGAAGGAGGAGTGATGAGCAAAGGGGTCAAGACCAGGCTGGAGAAACCCCCAGAAACAGCTGACCTGAACAAGGGGTTGCTCATGGACCCAGACTGATAGCTGGGAAACCAGCATAGGACTGTTCCAGACCCCCTAAAGGAGGAAGTCAGTTTGGAGGTCTGGACAATCTATGGGGCCACTGGTAGTGGATCAGTATTTACCCTTTGTACACAAATGAACTTTGGGAGCCCTCTCCACATAGCAGGATACTCTCTCAGCCTAGACACACTGGAGACAGTCTAGGCCCTGTTCCAAATGATATGACAGACTTTGAAGATTTCCCCCATGGAAGGCCTCACCCTCCCTGGGGAGCAGAAAGGGGATGAGATAGGGATTTGGTGAGAGGCAGGGGAGGAGGGGAGAGGGGGGGAAATGAGATTGATGTGTAAAAGAAGCTTGTTTCTAATTTAAATTTTAAAAAATCTTTATATTTTTTAAAAAGAAAATGCTAATGCCCGATGCAGAAGGATAATTAGGCCTTTAAAAGCAAGATCAGCACCTTTGGAGGATTGGACCAAGATACAATTAATATAGAAGCTCATGGCCATGATGATGATACATGGATAGGAGAGGTGATTTCAAGAGGTTTAAAGAAAAATCAAAATGTCAAATGTTTTAATTGTGACAAACAGGGTCACTTGAAAAACGATTGTAAATTGGGCATTTCTAGAAATAATTCTTTTTATAAACATAATTTAAACAGAATGCCCCTCCCTTTCTGGATTATGCAGAAGGTATGGCAAAGGCAGGCATTGAACTAAGAAATGTAGTTCAATAAGAGATTACCAAGATAATACTTTGCCTTTAGAAAATGCCTTGAGAGGCTTCTTGAAAGCCCCAATGTCAAAAGGGGTTCATTTGTTTCCTGCCACCATGGATGAAACTCCTTCCCAGAACAATTAAATAACCTAATGCCTATTTAAAGAAAACATTGTTCTGGATGATAGAAGAGCTTTAAAAGCTAAAATAAAAATTTCAGGAGAAACCATAAATCAAAATTGATAAAGATTAGATTAGGAACCTCCCCAAAGTTAGTGAAATGGCTCAGTGAGTGATGCCACCAAGCCTAATGACTTGAATTTGATCCTCTGATCCTACATGGTAGAAGGACAGAACTGACACCCACAAGTTGTGCTCTGACCTCCACATTTGTACCATGTCATGCATACATATGCATGTGTGCTCATACATATGTAAATAGTTTTAATTTTTTGTTACTGTTTTTTATTTATGTGCATATGTGCACATGAATGCAGTGCCCATAGAGGCATTCTCTGAAGATTGAGTTACAGTATCTTGTTAGCTACCTAGCATAGGCTCTGAAAATCAAAGCTAGGTCCTCTGCAATACCAGGCTGACCTCAAATTCAGAGTTCCGCCTGCCTCTGCCTCCCAACTGCTGGGATTAAAGGTGTGCACCATCACCAGCTGGCACAGTACACACTTAACTAACTACAGTCTCACATACTCCCAAATTTCAATTCCCTCTATAGAAATAGGTAACCGTATCATACAGTGTTGCAGTTTTGTTTTTCAGTCATCAAAATACAACTTGTAAAAATGAAGAGAATAATCTACTGTAGTCCCAGTCACTATTGTCTTTTTTTTATTGTTGATATTCTAGATTTTTTTGTCACTTCCTTTCTCTTTGAAGAACTTTCTACATTAATTTTATAAAAAGTGTCCGGTGACTTTAAATTCTGTTAGTTGTTCCTTATTTGACCTTTATTAATAAAAGATATTTTAGCTGTGGAATTATGAATTGACGGTTTTGTTTTCATCCAGTACTTGAGAAAATGTGCCAGTTTCCTGGCCTCTTTTGCTTCAAATGAGGAGCATTCTGTCTTTTGAATGGTTGCTTTTCCCCAGTGTCTGCTGCTTTCATCATTGCTGTCTTTGTCTTCAGCTTTCATAAGCTTTATCTGACTGACTCAACATACATTGCCTTGGGTTTATTTCGTTTGGTCTTTCCTCAACTTCTTACATCTGTAGATCTTCATCTTTTAACAATTTGGGCCACTTCTAGCCATTATTTCTTAAACCATGTTTTAATTTTTATTTTCTATTTTCTAAAATTTTTCTTGTGCATGTATGTTGATGTGTGCAGGTGTGCGTGTGCTGTAGCAAATGCATGTGGAATTGTTCCTCACACCCCCCCACACACCTTATGTGTAACAGGGTCTGTCTGTCTTCTGCTATGTCAGCAGGCTAGATGGCCTGAAGCTTCCAGGGCTTTCCTTGTCGCTACCTCCTGTCTTGCAATCAGAACAGTAGGACTATAGGCTCATGCAACTGTGTTTTTACTCAGGTGCTTCGCCAACCAAGCCATCTCCCCAGTTAGTCAACTATGTTTTTAGTATTTTACTGTTTTTCATACTTTTTGAAACACTGATGATGTATTACTGTTATTTTTTGTTACTGACCCATAAAAATCCCCAGAATTTCCCTTTTTTGTGTGTGTCTTTAGTGTTTGTTACTCAAACTGAATAATTTCTGTTGGTCTGTTATCAAATTTAGAGATTCTTTCCTGTGTCATCTTCATTCTGCTCTTAAGCTATTTAGTGGAGTTATGCTTTTGCTCATTTTATTTGATTTTGTATTTGTTTATTAGAAATTCATCACTTTATGAGCCAGCATGTTGGTGTACACCTATATTCTCTGCACTTGAGAAGCCAAAACAGGGAGACTATGAGTTTGAGGTCACCATTAGCTCTATAGTGAGATTCTGTATCAAATATACATAGACATATATATGGTATATACATATAAATGTATATATGTCAGTAAATATGTTAAAATTTTCTTTAAGCTCATATTTCTATTTCTCTTTTTTTGTAGAGAGTATTAATAATTGATTGTTGGAGCACTTTTAGAATTTCTTTAAATTTTGTCAGGATTATAGCATCTGGATCATCACAGAGTTACCTTTTACTAAGTTAATATTTTCATTATTCAGGTTATCTAATAATTTGGAACTATATCTTTGACATTTTATGTATAATGATACTGGATTCTAGTCATCCTATTTTAGAAGGTTAACAGCCTGTTTTGGTTTAGAATAAGCATTATGTTTCAATTTTATGAACTTTGGTTCAAGTATCAACTCAGTTTTCAGATCCCTTGCAGGCTTATCTGGCCTTTCCTACTTCTGGACTATCTGTCCCAGGTTATATCTGTCCCAGGTTAGGACCTAGGCAGGATTCTACCTGTAGTTCGGTTCCCAAAGCTTTTGATTTCCTAATTCTGGTCAGTTTCATAGGCATTGGTCATGCCATGAACCAGTTTAAAGAAATGCTTTCTCCAGGCACCTCCTCTCCATATCCTCTCGTAGTCTCTAATTAAGAAAGGGTAAGATAATACCTCACTGTTACCCTTTACTTAATTTAGGGTACGGTAGATGGCAAGGCTCCTCCCAAGCACCCAGTGAGGAGAAGAAAGGTGTGTTTTCCTTTCATCTATGTGCTGAGTAGAACAAGAATAGTCAGAATCATGTTGCAGGACTACATATTTCCCAGTCTTCTCTGCCATCCACTCCCAGTATGCATGTATATAGATCAATAAACTTCTCTGAGCCTCAGTTGTCAATAATGTCAGAGTGCTAATATCTACCTCATAGACTAAATTTAATTGAAATAATATACAATGGATTTACTATAATACTCAATAATAAGGATTTAGTAAATGTATCTCCTACTTATATTGATACACACACACACACACACACACACACACACACACACACACACACACACACTTAGACTAATTGCCACCAAAGGTCCTATCTCCTTTTGTTTTCATTTATTTTGCACAGGGTTTTTATTGTAACTAGCAGGAAGTTCCAAGGTTATTTATGCTTGTTCATCTTGTTTAGACAAGGAAACAAAATATGATTTTATCACTAATAAAAGCATTCACAATACACACTATGATTAGTACCAAATAAGTATTTGTTGACAAAAGAAAGGAGAAACATGAAAAACTCCATATCTCAAAATATTTATTAAAAGTAATATAATACAAATATGACCTTTAGAGTCATCAGCCAATTTGTATTCTAGCTCTGCCATTTACTCTCAGTATGCATGTATATAGGTTAATAAATTTCTCTGAGCCTCAGTTGTTGATAATGTGGGAATGCTAATATCTACCTCATAGATTAAATTAAAGTGAAATAATATATAATAGATTTAGTACAGTACTCAATAATAAGGATTTACCAGATGTATCTCCTACTTAGATTAGTAATAAGGACAATAATTGAATATCACTCTTTCTTATACTTACAGGAAACCCTTCTCTTAAAGACAAAGAAGACCAATTTGGGAGAACTCCACTTATGTATTGTGTGTTGGCAGACAGATTGGACTGTGCAGATGCTCTTCTAAAAGCAGGAGCAGATGTCAATAAAACTGATCATAGCCGGAGAACAGCCCTCCACCTTGCAGCCCAAAAGGTGAGAAGTCAAATGACGTTGAAGAGAAGACTGTGGCTGCTTGTTACTTGCCTGGTAGAACTGTGCAATGAACAAATAAATGGCAAAGGCATGACATGCAGGCTTCTGGGCTTCTACTAAAATAGTCTATAAATGTGGGTATAATAGCACAGTCTATAAAAACATGGTAACTGGGACTGTTGGTGAAGAACAGGCTCAGTTGATGAAGTGCTTGCCTGTAAGCACAAATATTTCCAGAACTTGTGTTAAAAAATGAGAAAGCTAGAGACAGGCTGATCTCTGGGGCTTACTGGATAGCCCACCTAATATAAGCAGTGAGTTCTAGGCCAATAAAGAACCCCTGTGTCAACAAAATTCTAGGTGGATGGTATCTGAGAAACAACTACCACAGCCTCCACACAAACAAACATACAGGTGTGAGCACCCTTGCACATACTCACAAAACCCATGTACAGAGAGAAGATAAATATTAAAATGAAACACAACAATGTTGCCTGTGATTGCCCTTATTATTTATTGGGAATGAACATGAATCTTTATGCTTTGCATAGTCTATTTTTCTCCCCTCATCAATATTACTTTTACAATTAAAAGTTTCAGTCTGTTTAGAAATCTGTGGCATTAGGGCCATAAAAAATTGATTTTCAGTTTTTTAGTGTAATTTCAGATTCTTAAAAATATGAAATTAGGTCTGGAGAGATGGCTCAGTGGTTAAGAGCACTGTCTGCTCTTCCAGGGGACCTGGGTTCAATTCCCAGTACCCACATGGCAGCTCACAACTGTCTGAACTCCTGTTCCAGGGGATCTAACACCCTCACATAGACATATATGCAAGCAAAACAACAATGTGCATAAAATACAAATAAATAATTTTTTAAAAACATATGAAATTATATTGGCATTATCAGTGGGTTCAAGTTTTTAAGGTCATTGTTACAACATAGTTCAGATTTTTTTCTTGTTTTTTTGAGATGGGGGTCTTACTATGTAGCTCTGGCTGTCATGGAACTCACTCTGTAGACCAGGCTGGCCTCAATATCACTGAGACCCGCCTGCCTCTACCTCCCAGGTTCTGGGATTAAAGGCATGGGCCACACTACACCAGGTTCAGAGTTCAGATTTTCAGAGCTTAGAATTTTAAGATAAACACAGTAAAAAGATAAAACAACAAGCTTCTAAATTAATTCAAAGACTTGCCTAAAAGCCATTTACCATCCGAAAACTTTTGGTTTATAAGACATACTTCTAGTCCATAGTATTTTTCTTTTTGTTACATTAGACTTCATATTTTTGTAATAAAAAAACAGTGAACATGAGTTAGAGCAAACATAAACTATTAGTGCTATTTCCTATTTTAAAATATGACCAGACAGAGCTGATTAATTGAAGAGTTAGAAAAATACTTTTTCGTGAGCTGAATGCATAAAACGATGTTGTCATTAATATCTGACAGTGCTGTCAGATGCACTCATCAGTGAGGCCTGTCACTTTGCTTCCAGTTACTTCTCCTGAACTCATTTTCATTATAGTAATTTCTTAAAAAACAAAAAACTTCATCATTTTTAACCTTAGTTTTAACTGCTACTCAAGTATTTATACCCTTTTACCTAGGCTTGTCATCTAACTAAATTATTCACTTGGGAAAGATAACTACATTTAGCATGTTATCATAAAAAAAATGTAAGAATGGTCCCAATATTAAGAATTTGATGTTCTTTAGACTGCTCATCGTGAGTCACTTAGGTATGAAATTCAACTTTTAAAAGTGTAGGTTGGGCCGGGCGTTGGTGGCACATGCTTTTAATCCCAGCACTCAGGAGGCTGAGGCAGGCGGATCTCTGGGAGTTCCAGGCCAGCCTGGTCTACAGAGCAAGTGCTCCAAAGCTACACAGAGAAACCCTGTCTCAAAACACCATATATATATGGTCTGTCTGTGCCCAGGCAGACCTATGTTTGATTTTGTGCTTCATATGAAGACCCTGATATCAAGTAGATTATTGGGGAGAGGGGATAAGGATTTAAGTTGATGATCTAATATGGTGACTTCTTGGAGAGTTTATATGAACCAGCAAGGTTGACAGAGGGGCTTGCCTCATCAGCAAAGTTAGCTTTGTCAGATGCAACAAACACATTAATTTTTGTTCCTTTTCGTTTAAGTGTTAATTTGGGTTTTTTGTTTGTTTGCTTGCTTGCTTGCTTGCTTGTTTTGTGAGGCTTTTTTGTTTTGTTTTGTGTTGTGTTGTTTTGGTGGGTCCTGGTAGTTATGTGTGTATGTGTGTGTCTGTGTGTGTTTTGCTTTGAGACAGGGTCTCAGTGCAGCATAAGCGGGCTTCAAACTTATGGCAGTTCACCCACCTCAACTCCCCTAGTGCTATAATTAAATGTGCAAGCCACCACACCAGGCTTCTTACTTTGATACTTTTAAATTTTAAAATTCTTATGTGTGTTGTGTATACATGGTATGTGAGCATGTATGGAAGTCAGAGTCCATTCTCTCTATTTTTACTTGTGTTTTGATGATTGAACTTAGATTTGAGGGTCTCTAGGCTTGTGCAGCAAATGCTTTTGCCCACTATATTAGTTAGTTTTCTACTGCTGTAATAAAACACCATGATTGAGGCAACTTATAGAAGAAAAGAGTTTATTTGAGCTGACAGATCCTGAGGGTTGGAGCCCATGATGGCAAAGTGAAGGCATGGTTCCCTGGATCAGCAACTGAGAACTCACATCTTAAACCACAAACAGGAAGAAGAAAGAGCAAACTGGGAATGGCACAAGGCTTTGAAATCTCAAAGCCCACCCTTTGTGACATACTTCCTTCAGCAAGGCCACACTTCCTAAGCCTCACCAGCTGGCTACCAACTGGGGACCAAGTATTGAGAAATCTGAGTCCATGGGGTACAGTCTCATTCAAACTACCACATCCACTGAGCCATCTTGTTAGTCTTGATTTTTTAATTCTGGCTTTTATCATGTCAAAGTAAATAGAATTAAGACTTATCTGTTAGAACTTATGTAGTTGATTACATATGTTACAAGTTTCATGCTCTTTTCAAGTATCTGATGGTTACAACCCCTATTGCTGTTGCTATTTTTACATGCTTGCCAAGAGCAGAGATGCATCTTTAAGTTACCCTACTAGACTTTGCAGAGCAAGAGTGGTAGCAATTCTTGAGTATCTTGCTATGCCCAGGCAGACCTATGTTTGGTTTTGTGCTTCTAATAAATTACCATTTTATTAACTTTTTATTTAAATTAAAAACAATCTTATTTTACATATCAATCCCAGTTCCTCTCCCTCCTGTCCTTCCACTCCTCCCACCATCTCTTCATCCCACTCCCCGTCTACTCCACAGAGAGGGTGAGGCCTCTTATGGGGAATCATCAGAGTCTGTCACATCATTTGGGGCAGGAATGAGGCCCTCCCCCTTATATCTAGGCTGAGAGAGTATCCCTCCATCGGGAATGGCCTCCAAAAAGCTAGTTGATACACTAGGGATAAATACTGGTTCCACTGCCAGAGGCCCCATAGACTGCCCAAGTCCCCCAACTGATACCCACATTCAGGGGCCTGGTTGGGTTTTATGCAGGTTCCACAAGGGTCATCTGGAGTCCATGAGCTCCCACTTGCTCAGGTCAGCTGTTTCTGTGGGTTTCTCCAGCATGGTCTTGACCCTTCTTCTGCTCATCACTCCTCCCTCTCTACAACTGGATTCCAGAAGTTTGGCTCAGTGTTTAGCTATAAATCTCTGCTTCTGCTTCCATCAGGTACTGGATGAAGGCTCTATGATGACATTTAAAGAAGTCATCAATCTCGTTATAGGGGAAGAGCATTTAAGGTAGCCTCTCCACTATTGCTTAGATTCTTAGTTAAGGGTCATGCTTTGAATTCCTGGGAATTTCCCTAGTGCCATAATGACTCCCTCTATCAAGGTGTCTCTTTCCTTGCTTTTCTTCTCTGTCCTTCCCCCAACTCAACCTTACTGATCCCTCATGTTCTCCTCCCACCTCCCTTTTTCCCCTCCTCTTTCTCCTACCACCCTTCCCCTCCCCCATGCTCCCAATTTACTCAAGAGATCTTGTCCCTTTCCCCTTCTCTGGGTGTCCATGTATGTCTCTTAGGGTCTTCCTTGTTTCCTAGTTTCTCTGGCGATGTGGATTGTAGGCAGGTAATCCTTTGCTATATGTCTAATATTCACTTATGAGTGAGTACATACCATATCAGTCTTTCTGTGTCTGGGTTACCTCACTCGAGATGGTTTCTTCTAGTTCCATCCATTTGCCTGCAAATTTCAAGATTCCATTGTTTTTTTTCCGAAGAGTAGTACTGCACTGTGTAAATGTACCACATTTTCTCTATCCATTCTTAAGTTGAGGGGCATTTAGGTTGCTTCCAAGTTCTGGCTATTACAAATAATGCTGCTATGAACATAGGTGAACAAATGTCCTAATGGTATGAATGTATATCCTTTGGGTATATGCTGAAGAATGGAATTGCTGGGTCTTGAGGTAGATCAATTCCCATTTTCCTGAGAAAGCACCATACTGATTTCCAAAGTAGCTGTGTAAGTTTTCATTACCACCAGCAGTGGCGGAGTGTTCCTCTTTCTCCACACCATCTCCAGTATAAGTAGTCATTGGTGTTTTTTATTTTAACCATTCTGACAGGTGTAAGATGGTATCTCAGAGTTGTTTTAATCTGCATTTTCCTGATGATGAAGGATGTTGAGCATTTACTTAAGTGTCTTTCTGCTATTTGAGATTCCTTTGTTGAGAATTCTCTATTTAGATCTGTACCCCATTTTTTAATAGGATTATTTGGTGTTTTGGTGTCTAGTTTCTTGAGTTCTTTGTATATTTTGGAGATCAGCCCTCTGTCAGATGTAAGGTTGGTGAGGATCTTTTCCCATTCTGTAGGCTGCCATTTTTTTCTTGCTGACTGTGTCCTTTGCCTCACAGAAGCTTTATTTTTAAGAAATCAAAAAATGAATACACAAAAA